CAAGGTACCCGAAAAATAAATGTTCCGGTCAATGTTAAGACCTTATTCCCAATTTCAGCTTTACGTTCCCATCCAAAGAGTTGGTATTTGCATTGGAATCGAGGGTGGGTATAAAACCTTTTTGTTGGGAAACTGCGCGCTCTTTGTCTCTGACTCACTGTCAAGCGTCCTTGTGTTTTCCCGCGTTTTTTGTTCTAATTAGTCAGGCCCGGCTCTCGACCTCCGCTGCGCTCCTGCCACCAACGAAACCGTCGCCAATGTTTTGTGGAAATATAACAAAAAGTTCACGTGCTCGTCATACTCCGCACAGGAAAATTATTATAATGTAATAATTTTAATTCTATGGAAATGTAAATCAGTGCTATTTGGTGTTTCCAAAATGTTATCTATGAGTTAGTACTTACGTATATACCTTAGTTAGTGTCTACTTCGTCCACGTTTCTTTGCATAGTAACTTACTAAAATTAGGTAGATCTAGATACCTACTCAGCTCAGACTGATTCCCTTTACATTTGAAGCACATAACCACCAAATAAAATACATGAACGCCATAATTACAGCAATTACAGGAGCCCTCCCCATGCATTTAAAGTAAGACGGCCTTCTTAACCCTATGAATGGGGAATCTTAAGGCGTAATGGTGTCTCACCCCTTCCCGTATTCATGGGGCACCATAAATACGAATAATATTCACAAATTTGTTTACAGATCGCGTACCCACGCACAATGCGAGGAAACTCCGCGGGGGAAGAATGGGGAAGCCTTGGCTTGTTTTCGTTGCGGATTTTTTTTCGCATGAATTTACTTTTTTATGTTGTTGTAGATACTTAGATTTATATCCATGGAGGCTGGAGGGGTCCGGAGCGAAGCAGTTTAAGCAAAGATTGGCGAGTTTTCAGTTCTCATTGGTTTTATCATGCAAGTATATTTCGGCGATACTCGGTGCTTTTTTTTTTTAAGGGGGGAAAATCATCGAATGACTGCTCCCGCCTGGGTGAGGCGGGAGGGAGTGTCAGACTCTTACTGACTAAAAACCACCCCGTTCCTTCTCCTGCACGTCGAGCCGGAGCCCCGGTTACCCGTTAGGTTCTCCGCGACTCCGAATCGGCATCTGCCCTATTGGGCCCCATCTGTGGTGGTCTGATGGCTCTTTGAGGCGCGCGCGGAACGCTCGGCGCCGTACGCTCGGGTCTGTTTCTGGTCGGACGGGGACCCATGCTCGCCGTCCGCAGGCCCATACTCGGTGCTTAGAAAGTTACTGTTTAAAGCCTCCCACTTGTATCTATTATATCAGTTTCTTTAACTTCTATGCACCCGGTCCATACAGTATAACCATTATTCAACAAGTAACAGTTATAAAAAGGTCGAGTGGCTACCATTGTCATCTTTGCATTTGTCCGGCTTGTGTAATGTGATTATGTTATTAGTGATTTTAATTATTGTCCCGTCTCATTGTTCAATTTGCAAGTTGACTACGGAGCATGAAGTCATGTTCAATGCTCGTGTCGTGTTAAATAAATAAATGCTTAGGTATTTGCCCAATTTTTTACATTCTCAGTACTTACCTAATAAATACTTGATACGCTTTTCTAATTTTTAAAATAATATTCAAATCTAATTGAGCATTGAATAATCAATCATCAATTTTTAATTTCCAATGGGAAATTAAAATCTTCAATTTGACGTCACGTTTCTACATCTCCAGTTCTCAAAATTTTCTAATAAACCCTTCACAATAAATATGAATCTCGCGCATTTGAATGCTAACCCATGCTTGCCGGAGTTAGGACAATAGCTCACGGCACACGTGCCCTATCTGACGATCGATGCAGCTCCTCTGTCGTGGGTTCCTGACGGCTTTCTTATCACATGCTCCATCCGACGGGTAAATAAAACTTTTTAAAGTGCTGGTATCGGTGCCAGATACACAAAAAATATTTGATAGCATAGAAACTCAGAAGGAGTTAAAGTTTCATATCTCATTATATTCTATAAACTAGATAGGTGCCATCTTATTGCTGGAATCAAATCTATTAAATAAAGAATCTTAGCAATCTTCTGAAGTCGCACTCTTGTTAAAAATAGTCATAAAACATAGATAGAAGTGTTTCTATTGCGAATATTTGAAGTTATAAAGCGCTTCAAGAATGTCGATTGTGTTCGTCACCTGAGATACAAATCCTGCAATATACTCAGTAATCTGTTCGAGAGGCCAATAGTTTTCAATTTCGCCCCCTCACCTGTCCGCCAGTACGTTTGACATAATCCAGCGTTTTATTAGCGAGACCCGTAACGACTCGCACGTGTGCACTACGTCGCCTTTGTTCTATCAAAATTACACCCCAACATCCAAACGCCACACATCCCCAACCATTTCATACGAGAAAGCACCCTATGGAAATATTCGCATGGTTTAAATTTCAGATTTATTGAGTATCCTTTGTACTCTTTCGATGGCGCGAACGGCCATGTTATTATTTCGTTTTGGCGGGCCGTGACTGACGTTCAAAGTCGGTGTTGCCATGCGGAATAAACTGTAATACGAGTTATGAAAGATTATAGCGTAATCTGGGAATATTGAAGACAATAAGAATGAGCTTACCTTCGTTTAGAATAGGGGTGATGTAAGCGTTTGTTACTTTTATTGTTTGAGGGGTGTGCTTGACTTAGATTGCCGTGTTTTTGTTTTGTTAAACGTTGATATTAAATGTTTTTGAGGTATAAAAGAACAATGTCCTAATCAATCACATTACTATTTAAGTATAGTTTTCTGGTGGATTTTCTTTATTTTTAGTGTCATGTTAACATCTAAGTACCTATATATCCAGGAAAATAAAATAATTTTCCGGTTTAATGAGTAGGTATAAAGACCTAAGTAGTCCAAATACCAAGTCTATTAAATGGTTTCTAGATGATTTTACTTTTTGTATTTGCTCACCTATCTACATAAAAGTACTCACATAGACAAAAATTACTATCCCTTTGTATGCAAATTTCTGAAACTCGATGTAAGCATTTTCTCTTTGAAGCGAGTACTTGAGTCACAAGTGTTCTACCTAGATATAAATGTCAGTTCTTCGAAGACTTGACCCCATCATTTTGAGGTCCACTTGAGGATCAAAGGGGCTCCAGAAAGATGTCGAATGAAAGACCAAATAAAACTCATTAATTTTATTAATTTTATAAATCGAAATTCATTACACCTTCCTTCTTCATTATAGTTACAAATTCCTTCTCATTAATACTATTATTTATAATTATCGTAATTAATTATTAACTCCCCCTAAACCTACAAATTATACATCGACCTAATTTCTCAGAACATATAAATTAAGTTGAAAAACGTTAATTACAACTCCATTTTGTTACAACTGACGAATTATTCTAATTTTTAATAAATTCTTATTGCTATTATTTCACATCGGACGTTATGTGGGGGAAAACCGCCATTTTGTCACGATGTTGCCAATGTTTCAATAAAAATCTTCACTAATTTTAAAATTAATATTTACATTGCAGCAATTCGCAGATTTCAATTAATAAAAATTGACTTAAGTACATATTGAGGGAATAAGTAATGTGTTTCTTGTGTGATAAATAAACAGAACTCTGATTCACTGTTAAAAAAATATCGAATTAAAAAAAAGCATGGAATGCAATGAAGAAATAAACTCACAATATTTCTTGAATGCGATAGAAAACATTTGTGTTTATTACTATAAATTCGTTGTTTAATAGTGTTCTTGTAATAAAAGTGGTTACAACTATAATCAAGATCGATTTAAACATTTTAACTTGGCTGGGTATTATCTAGGTACTTATTTGTTCATTGAAAACCAAAGAGCGAAAACCAAAACGTAAAAATGAAATCAATAGTTTTTGAAATTATCATCCATCAGCCAAGTTGAAACCGAAATTAAATTGCACAAGGGATGCCTCCCGTATTCGCTCATCGATAGCTAGGAGCGGTCACAACTATATACATAAGATAGTATCTACACACGCAAACACTGACTCTTTTTAAATTAGTTTCTATTCACACAACAATTAGCTACTTTATCAGTTATTTACAGTAATGTACCTACAAAAGACGATGAGAGTTTCACCACCATATAAGTATAAAAAGAAAATTCATTAAATACAAGTAATTATTGCTATAGACATTAGGTTCATTTTCTTATAAAACCTTTTCAAAGTGTGATTTGGCTGTAGGCAATGCTATCCGCAGGTTGGAAGGTGATGAAACATCTCGTCAAAGTCATTACATTATTTAAGCAAAAAACAAATGAATGTGCTGTTGTCAAACAAAACGAAGACATTATTGGAAGTTTGGCACTCTTATTTTAAAACCTGAACAAAAAATATTTATACTCTGTTTATCGTAAATTGTAACTCCAACACCAAAACTAAAACAAGATCGTCTTCTCCTGTCAACGTGTGATTTATTGCGAAAAAATATTTTTAATTCAGGTTCTCATGTCAGTAAAAAAATATCACAAAGAATCAATTCAAATCCTCACGTGTGCTTAACTAAAGCTATTGCTAATTATTTACACATTACCCTCCTCCCGTTGTGCGGTAATTACCGACTATGTCCACATTTCACATCAACACTTTCGAAATTTCACTATTTTTCTAATCAATGTTCATTTTTGTAGCTCTAGCCACGTCGCTTCACCCGAGACAGTGTTCTTAGAGGAGACATAACAAACGAAAGACATGTTATACTTTACATACCACTTTAAAAGGGAAAAGTATGTATTTAGTGTTGGTTCCTACATGTATATCAAAATCAATACACATCAAACAGTTTGCAATCAACAAAATAACCTAAACGAATTGACCCCGATGTCTGGGAGAATATTTCACTCACTGCAACACTAAATAAGAATGCAACGACAAGGAAATCATTGAGTCTACAAAAACTAAGAAAACAATTGAGTTTAATCGAAATACATCTCTTCCTTGAACATTGTCTCATGATAAAGCTGTGGGAACTTCTACCAGGCTCGGCCCTGTAGCGGCAGGTACCCAGAGCACTGTTGCTGGTAGGCCGCGGGCTGGCGGTATGACGACACGAGCGGGTTGCTGCACGCCGCCTGCGACGGCTGCGGGGCAGAGTACCCGGACGTCGGAGTGGCGCAGTGGCTGTGCGCTGGTGATGATGACTCCCCAGAGCCACAAGGTTTCCCGTCCTTCACCAGGACGGGAACTGCCACTCGTCGGGGCGATGATGACGACTGTTGAAGAAATTACATTAGTTTCTATTCTAAACTATGATTATACAACAGCGCCCTCATAAAACTACAATTAATTAAATAAATCATTATAACGAAAATTACATGAAAGCCAGCAAGTCATTAGTGGGCGGGCGGCGCCCAGTGAACAATGAAATGTTGGAGCTATCCGCCTGCCGCCCCCGCCGAGCAAATTGAGCCAATGTTCCACGCACGAAGCAGGGTCACTGTACTAGCTGGGAGTTAGCGCAGTGCAACAAGATCAACATTATTCATGATACTAGGGACTTTTGAAAATATTTTTCATAGGCTACGTCAGTAACCTAGACTGAATTTTTATTTAGCTAATTTAGCAGTATAGTAGAGTACAAATTAGTGTACTTTGCTGTAATCACAATTATATTATTTAATCTTTATTACTCCTTGACCAATAAGTTCCTCGAACAACAGGCGGGAAGATAACATCAATCTAGGTTACCGTTCCACGTTGAGGTAGCCCTATTTTCCCGCGAAATTCTAATTGTTACAGGGTTGCCAGATTTGGGAAGTGCGGGTCCCGTATTTTGTTACCCATTGAGGAGCGCAGCGGGAGATTGCTATCGAGTGGGCAAAGTCTATCGCCTTGGCAAACAGGGGAGCAGCCCCAAGGCACCACGTCAGCGGACGATTATTATCGCTTACACGTTAATATTCATTATTCATTAGCATTGTGTAAAATTTTATGAATTAATAATGTCACGTCGCCGCCGCTTGATCAGGTTGGGATTTTTTGAGATTAAATTGTTGAGGGGTTGATTTTTAAATACAAGGTACAACATTGATATTGCACAATAAATGCATTTTTCTACCTATGATGATTTTCTTGATTGACAATAGATATTATAAAAAAAATCTTTAGGTATATTATTCAGGTACACTATATTATCTTAGTCAGTGTGATAATTTCTTGTGACTGACCTGATTGTGTTGATTTTGCTCCGCCATCGCCTTCTCCTTGGCTTGCCTCTTACATTTGTACCGGTGATTTTGAAACCATATTTTGACCTGGAACAAATTACTTCATTGTAAAAACAATCACGTAGGTACCTATCATGCCCTTAGAGGGCGTTAAAATAAAGTTTCCGTGAAAATAAAATCAGGCAATCTTATTCTTGGTTGTTCCCATCCATAGTGATAACATTTTCTTAATTTGTCAAGTTCATTCAATTCACGCGTAATCAATCTTCAATTGTTTGTCCATGTTTTTTTATTAAGTTCATTTTTTCAGATGTCTACATGTGATGTTTATGTTTTGATGTGAGTGATGTTTTGCTACATACATTTTTGCCCATTGTCGTTTCCATTGCAAAGAAATAGTTGTGAATTTGATTCCATTTCGTATTTACTACCAACATTAGGAAATATAAAAATGGCGGCTTGCTGTCATTGTTGAGAGCAACACGAATTGATTAGCCTAGTGGTATATCTGCGTTTAATGGCTGGATCGTAGTGGGGAGAAATCGTAAAACTTGCCATTAAAACGAGTTACCCTCTACCATGAGAATGTAGCTGTTACAAATGATATTATACTTAGTCAATAACTAGACACCGGTAGTAGAAGAAAAATAAGGAAGGTATGTATTGGTGCTCAGATTATAGCGAATAATATGATATTTATGTATTCGTCGTGTGAGTGAGGTTACCGGAGGGCCAATCCCTTACCCAATCACTCCAGTCCCTAAATCCCTAACAATCCTCAAACTCCTAATCCCCAAAAGGTCAGTAACGCACTTGTAACGCCTCTGGCGTTCCAGGTGTCCATGGGCGACGCCGATTACTTACTCACCAGCAGGTGATCCGTCTGCTCGTTTACCGGCTTATCCCATTAAAATGATATTTCAGAAAAAATTAAACGCCAATATTTTTAAAAGTACCTTAAAAAGTTCTTATCAATATCATGTTACTACCATGTTAAATTAATTTCATAGCGACAAATGTATTTGAGGAAGGGTAATGGGTGAAGGAAGATATTTAAATTGTAACACATAGTAATATTATACCTAAAAACTTTTCCCTTGGTCTCTTTTGATAACTTAATAACAGACTTCATTTGTAAATTATTATTGACTTTATTATTTTAATTTGACATTTACTATCTAGATTCATTCATTGCATTATTAATATTTGTAGACCAGTCATGGTTAAACATGTTGATACAATCAGCCATCTATAGTCAGGTACTGTGTCATCTATAGTAAACATAATTTTTTGCTTGTATTGTGTAACCTGCACATGTTTTGGCAAATAAAATGTCTTAATCTTTATCTTTATCATCAGATTGATTAAATATCTTCTTCAAACAAAGTTTTAAATATTCAGTAGTCGTTAGTGATTTTCTCTTTGCTTTAAACAAGTCTAAGTCTAGATTGCCACGAATCTAAAACAATCCTCCCTAATCTCAGTAAAGTGACATGCTCACGTATCCGTACAAAGTTACTGCGACTGATGGAACGATAGCAATTAATGCGCTAATCCCATCGCAAACGCGTGACGAGTCAACAAGCGGAGTCAGTGCCTCCCTGAAATTAGCGCTAGGCCGAGCCTGGTCAACACTCCACCTTAATGACGAAAGAATAAACATGCGCTGTTTGCCCCACCGAGCGGCCAGCCTTTGTCTACGCACGCTCCCGACGCAGCGAAATATACACTTTATTTATTATTTATACATCGAGAGCGTTTCCTCGTGTTTATTCTTTGAAATGGATGTGTACTCCCCCGTACCAAGATCTCCTCCCGCTACGATACCAAACATTATCTTGTGCGCGCCAATTTATCGTTCACACATCCGTTATAAAAACAAATCGTTACATCGTTACTAAATACTGGCCACTAGACTCACTAGACAGATTGACAGCGTTTTCTTTTTTTTCGTTTGCTCTGTGGTGCTTCGTTGTGGGAACGTTGTCAGCATTGACGCGCGCTTTTGTGCTGCGTTCAGGAATGATGCTCGCTACTCGCTAGGTTATATAGGAGGAGGTGAGAGTTAATGAACGGGCCCCGTCGGCGGGCGTCGCTTATTGCACTCCGCCGAGGCTTGGACGCTCTCGTGTGGAGTACTTTCTTTCAATCTCCTTGTGCATAATGCTCGGTGTTGGCTCGCACGCACTCTACGCCCGAGTGCGCCATTCACTTATTTGTTTTACATCTAAACGACTGTTGTTACTCGTCGAGTGATGAGACATTTCGGGTGTGTCCGAGGGCTTGCGTGCTTGAGTTTACACCCACTTAGCTGCCAAGCGTGATGTTTTCCTATTATGTTGTGCTAACTGTAGTCGGCTACCGGAATCCATCTTGGCATTTCCTTAATTGTATTGACTAACTCGATAATTATAGTAGTTTCACGATATTTGTGAAGACCTACGTGAGGATTTTGAGGCATAAAAAAATTACGTTCATTAAAATGAAAAAGCGGCCACCCAGTCAGCTGTCATCGTTACAATACAAGTCAATTTTGGCGCCGAAGCCTTTCCTTCGTCAAGAATTTGTGAGTTTCTGAATCGAAGTCTAATCCTCATGGTATTAAGGTTGGAAATGGGTCGTGGAGTGTTTAGACATAGCACGGTATATAGTCCTCGCGTAGGTGTTCCGTTTCTCTGAACGATGACTCGGTATATCGAGCGACAATTATTATAAATAAAGATGCACTCGTGTTTGTTTAGCTCTTCATTTGCTGCAGTGATTTTTTCCAGCGATGAGTTTGACGTTTTAATATTCGAAGCGTTTACTAACAATGGCTGGTATTTGGGCTCAGTTTCGTGTGAGTTTGGAGAAGGCAAGTCTGAGATGGTAAGTAAATCAATTCTAAGGATTTTACAAGAATCAGTAGGAGTGCAAACATTTGGACATTTATGAGTTTGTGTGTTTTACGGTAATTGAGAATGGAGATGTGTAGAGGTTTAAAAGAATGGTGGCCATCTCAAGTAGCCACAAGATGTAGAACAAAATTGGGTGAAGAAATAATACGTAATGGAAAATAACACATTTCAATATTAGTGAACTAAAGTGCCGTTAGAATGATTAAATAAACGCTCCCATCGTCGATTCATTTAGAAACGTACGGCGTGTCACTGATTTGTCATTCCCGGCAGCTTTCACAATGGCTGATTGTCGCACATTATTGTATCAGAACCTCTGCATCGGACGCGAGGCGACGGCGCGCTGAGTAAACATCGGTCCGCGCCATGACAGCGCATCAATGAGCTTCATTTATTTAGTAACTTATAAAAATATTGAGCAAAAAAATCTCATCGTGCAACCACAAAATTGAGTTGCAGACGATTTTCAATCTTATTCCAAAGAAAATTTTAAATTTTAACGGCACAGAACAATTTGACAGATGCAAAATAAATATGGCGGATAGTACGTGAGTGAATGTCGGTAACAAAATGTTGCGGACAGTGTTTTTTCAGGTGATTGTGATTCTTTTGATTTCTACGTGTATTGTATAGATAGGTAGATATTGTAAATCTTTACAATTTTATATTACGAATAATTTCTAACTTTATTTAAGTATTAATCGGATTTATTTTGCAGATGCTGAAATAGAATGATTAAAGTTGATAACATTTTTTTTGGTCGGGCTGTGGATGCGTCTTATGATTATGAAATTAGAGGACGATAGTCTCTCCTAATAAAATAGAGGCAAGGGGCGTTAGTCGAAAACTCACTATCACCCGTAAAGTATGAAAAGGCAGAACGCCAAAAAAATATTTATCAACGATAAATATTGCCAATCTCTATATTCCGACATCCATATTCCCTTAATTACCTACATTCGGTTCTCGTGTAACCCGAAATATAAGTAATTATATAAATGTAACTGGTAGTACATAGCAGTGAGTATCATTTAATGTAGCTCCCGACCCCTGCCCATGGACCGTGACTCGTACCGCCCGCCTCTGTTTACACACCAATCCACCAAATTAATATTTGTAAGTTGTATGCTTATTAAACTCGGTTTAAATGTTACTTGTCTATACCTACGTTTGTTTTATTAAACAAATACACTTTGACGTCGAGGTTTTATAAACATTTCGTACATTAATATTTATTTATCTAGTTTATCGAGAGGTTAGAAGGTAGCTACAAATTGCAAACCAACCAAATTTAACTAAAAAACCTTCAGTCCAATTCACCGATCTATAATTTGCGAAATAATCACAAAAAGTATCCTAAGATCCTACGCAAACACCGCAATATTAACAATGGAACATTACAATTCAAATAATGGTCGTTACCTGTGCCACAAAGGGCTGTGTCAGGTGTATCATCCGCTTAAGATAGGTCCTATTAAACCTTCACAATGCTTCGCAAAAAGTAGCCATTCATAAAATTTAATCTCGAATAAATTGCTTTGTGCTGGCAACCCGAGCGAAATGCCAGCTAATAATTTTCGCGGTTATTAAACTCGGGGAAACGAATCAAAAGTTTTTTCAAATTTGTTTTGACATGTTGGCCACAACCGCTGCCTTTGATGCAGTGATCTTAAAGACCCTTCGGACCGCAGGTTTTTGGATAGAGAAACCTACGAACACGTCATTCAGACATACTTATAACTACAATTCAGATAAAAAGTCTAAATTAAATTATCCATAAAAAACTACGTTATGAAAACGCATACAAAGACCATTAAGAATTTACAAGCGGTTCCAGCTATGCAGTGCAACCATTGCGTTTAACTGGGCACAATTTTGATAACCGAAAGCAGATGATTTTCAGCCGCTTGACAGGAAGCTTATTGAGATCCCACGCAGATTATGGATTAAAAAAACTTGGAGTGGGATTATTGGTAAATTATATGCTCTGAGGGATTCGCCGACGGGATTCAATCAGGTTACCTTAAATAATTATGATGTGAATGTAAATATTATTTTATTGAAGATATTTCGGCATTGGGGGGAAATTTCTTTTGTGGTGTAACCGCACTGGCGATGGTGAACGTTTTTTGTTACATTTTGATTTATTATGTGGATAGACAGATTGCAGCTGATCGGCTGTCTAGATGACTTAATTTGTGAATAAAATATTTGGAATGGCATTATGAATAAGTATTCTCTTTTTCAATAACTGATCCAAACAAAGAAGGTCGTTGATCTTTTTCTAATTCGATTCCATACCTATCTATTTGTAAATTCTTCAGCAAGGTTCATTAATGCTTGTTCGTCCTCCGTGTGGGAAGAGACCTTGTCTCAGTAGTGGGACAATTACAAGTTGAAGATGATATTCCTAGTAAAGTTTTATTTATCAAATGAACTCTTGGTTCCGCGATTAAGGATTACCTACGATAATTGAGATTGATACGGAACGAAAGTTTTTCAAGTCGGTGTTAATTTTAATTAGTTAGAGACGTATAGCAAAGCAAGCATCACCATTGCTGACATCAGCCTATTGATTCTAGATGGATGACGTCATTTCACAAATATATGATCATTAATCCATCTTGAAATGGCAAAAAACATTTCCAATTGAATCTTTGACATGGTATCAACAGTTGTCTGACACAAATATGATAATTTTTCCGGGGGCTACTTGACGAGGGCCAGTGAGCGAACATCGCTGACAGCTATTGTTTCATGAAGCACCATTATCTCATTGCTCTCATTATACGTGTCGGCCGCCCGCATGCGCGCATCCGCCGGAGACAAGACCATAGAGTTCGTGACCATAGACAATGCCTACACTCTTTTGTTTCCAACTTTTTTGGCATCTCTCACGCTTTTAATAACGGTGTTTGATATTTAGACAGTTTTTTATACCTACTCTAATTTGTTATGTCAGAGCCAAGAGGGGTGGTGGTGCTTTTGATGTTTCCTTGCGGTTTTGTTTTAGATTTTTCTGTGTATCGATAGTGTTACTTTACCTTTAGAAATTTATTACCTAATTAGATGCTTTTACAGGATTTTAGGGGGGGGGGGGGAATCATCGAATGACTGACACTCGCTCCTGCCTGGGTGAGGCGGAAGGGAGTGTCAGATTCTTACTGGCTAAAAACCACCCCGTTCCTTCTCCTGCACGTCGAGCCGGAGCCCCAGTAACCCATTAGGTTCTCCGCGATACTTTTATAGGACTAGAGAAAGGTTCTTTAAAAAAAAATCTATTATAGCCCCCGATATTCAATTTAGATACAACTATCTGAGGTTAGACTACACAAACTTAAAACCTTCATTCACTTGACCATCTAAAGACTGTCTCTACTCTGTCCTCTAACTTACGAACTCAGAACCAAAGCTACTGAATTCCACGTACAGAGAACACAGAACAATAATTAAAATAGTCATTAGAGTTATAAAATTAGAGTTTGTTCAAGGGACGCGGGCGTAGCGCGCGAACATCGAAATTTACTTAAGTTCTACGAAAGCGCCCTCTGTTTACTTATCACGAACGTCAAACAGTCGGGATATTGTGGCCGAGTCCGTCTTTATTGCCGTATTTAAATGCTATGAATATGCAACGTTTTAGCGTTTTGCCTTCTTCATTTTTGGTACTTATTTAATCTGAATTCGAATTTTTGGCAACCTAAGTTTGCATTAAGTATCATGTACTTATATATAGGCAAGGTTGGTTGGTTCACAATCACCTTAACAACCATATAGTAGCCGTAGTATTGTATTTGTATCCAATGGCAATAAGTATTATTTTTATTTTTATTTATTTAAATAGGTAAACCAACAGCTTCTGTATACATAGTATTAAGAGATAATAAAGGTAACAATAGGTATTGGGCTTATACAGTCCCCAATTATGTATGCCAAGTAAGTACCTTCATTCTGGACACTCAAATAACCAACGGACAGATTAATATGATTATTTATACTTCCATCCTAGATTCGTCTTATACATAGTAGGTACTAAGTAAATAGATACCGATTGTTTTAAATACTGCATTTTTACAATTAATATTACAGAGAGGCAGTAGCAACCTCAGTATTGAGATTGAAAAACTGTAACTAGTTAATGGACTCACAATAAGTAGGTACTTAGCATAAAAAAATGAACCACTTAAATCTATCAAATAAATCGGTAATGGTAATCAGAAAAATGGCGTAACTCAATACAGATAATGCAGCGATTAATGCGTGAAGCACGCGCCGGCCGTGTGCCTGGCAGCAGCCGGGGACGGCCGTGTTAACCGGACCGGTAGCTACAGATTTAACGCCGATACAAACTACGCTTAGCACTGGACAAGGCTGTTTCCGAATAAAATAGTTAAATACAATTTTGGAAACACTTTAAAAGACAGTAAAATGTAGGGGAATTTTTCCAATAAATTCATTTTGGCTAGGGATAATGTCACTGTTTCACTATAATTTTTTTGTAATGAATTTTACTGGTCTTTGAATGCAGAAATCAATGTGATTAAATGACATATAATAGCACCTAAAACCTCCAAAGAAAAATGTATGTGGAAACTCTTTTCTCTGGGTGTGAAAATTATCCAATGACTTCTCCCGCCCGGGGGAGACGAGAAGGAGTATTAAAGTTTTATTGACTAAAGACCACCTTGTTCCTACTCCTGTTCTTTGAGCCAAAGCCCTGGAAACCCGTTAAGTCTTCCGGGGATCTAATATGGAAAGTCGGACAGTCTTTTCCAGCAGTGAAACTGCATAGATTATATGATAATCTAGCACAAGACTTTAACATTTCTTTGGTTCTTATGGTTTTAACTTTTGTACCTTCTTTAATATCTTTCACATCATGAGTTATTTTTCACTTTTGTTTGTCAAACTCAAATAATCGTAAACATAACATTCATATTTCACACATCCATGAAATATTTCACCAAATATTTGCGTAAAAAATGTCATCGCCATTATTAATATAACTGTCAACGGCACGCGCCCTATTTCCCACATTCGTTTACAAAATTCAAATCCTTTACAACAATGCGTCGATAATCTCTAGCCGTGTCGATATAAATTTCATAAACTCGGTGCGACCCCCAACAATGGTTTTAGGTCCATGAATAATCTCCATTTTGACGGTGTCAACACCAGCCGTTTGGCGCCAAAACAAACGTCAAACGGGCACAATGGCGGCGCGCGTTAAGCCGAAGATAATGCGTTGTTATTATAATTGGGCCGCATAGTTGGTATTGTTGGACCGTGCAGGTTAATTACGTTGTTAATTGCAGCTACTTGCACGATTGTGCTTTAATTTTGAAGTGAAATGGAAATGACCATATGCGCATGAGATAACTTTCCTGAGGGCAGTAACGTAGGTTACCTAGAAATCGATACCCAATTTCTTTTAAAAATGGAAATTGCTTTAGCTTCTGAATATTTAATTTCTTAGAAATTCTGATTCTCATTTATAGAGTATACTTAAGTACCTACTTACTTCATCATAAGTTTATTGTTTTTATAAAAAATATTTTATCGTCTGATCACTTTACGAGAAAAAAACCTCTTGGTATTGTTTTTCCAATTCCCATTCTAAACAAACAAATATTCAGAAAATTTTATAGCTAACTTTTTGAGACTGTTCTCTCAAATAACTTAAAGACAAGTAACCCACCCATAAACATCGATTACGTAACACAATCGAGATCAATTGACAACAAACAACCCTAAACTTAGTGTGCGGCAGTTAACCCTCAACCCTTAGATGGGTATCAGGATATCAGCCTCGAGGCAACATGCGTTCTGTGGGCGTTTGGTGTAATTGACTTCGGTCATTGCCGGAGGCGTTGGACGGTTAGAATAGTGATTTACGACCATGTGGTGTTGGCACCGCGTGACGCCCACACAGACCCATGTTGCTGTCAAAGCTTGTATATTATCTATGGTCACACCAAATTATATCACAAGGCGGGAATGTGTTTAACTCGATTTATTCGTAATGTAGTTTTCATTGGATAGTGTGGAAGCTTGAAGGGTTGTGAATTTTGAATGTTTGAGAGAGAGGGTGTGTGTGAATTATTCATCTTGTTGTGTTGTTTTTAATTGTTTAGTGTTTCTTTCGGAGGAAACGTTTTGATAATATTGAAACCCTTATTGATGGACCTAAGTAGACCTACGTAGGTAAAGATTATTAGTTATTGTTCTGTTGCAAGATCACCACAACTAAAGATTAGTTCTACCGGTCGCTATAATAATGATTTTGGTATTTTTACCAAAATCATTATTAATTTTTAATCTGGCAACATTTCGCGATCACCGCGCCTGTAAACTTTGAAAGAACACAATACCAATTTATGCTTAGCAGGTAATACACGAGTTACTGATATTAAAGTACATTAATGTTAAAAGAGTAACTGACCTGTGTCGGCGTGAGATGTATGAGTGAGGCAAGGTGTTCCCTCTCCGGCGCTGACAGATACTTCTGTTGCTTGAACCGCCTCTCCAACTCGTATACCTGCACAAAATAAGTAGTTTAATAAAAAAAACAATTAAAACAGCATGGCATTACAAGGTAGCAAATATGAATTAAAACTAAACTAGTCACTAGTTAGATACAATTCTCATTAAACTGTATACTCTGTATTATTTACTAGCTTCTGCCCGCGACATCGTACGCACAATCCCGTTTTCTCCCATTCCCGTAGGATTTCAGGATTTTTTTCTGTCATAAGAACCTTCTCCTGACAATAACAAACGCAACAAAAAATAATCAGCCAAATCGGTCTAGCCGTTCTCAAGATATGGCGTGACAACGGGAAACGGGTTTCATTTTTATATCTATAGATTTTATATTGGTAACGATATAACGACTACCCAATTTATAAAATCAAATACAGGACATAATGCAAGATTAAAGTATCGGTACAGAAATAGCATTACATACATCAGTGGTTGTTCATCAGTGATTTTGTTCTTAAGGTTATTTTCTTTTTCGATCGGTTTGACTGGATTTTAGTGTTACATTGTTCTCGCACTATCGAACCAATAAAACTATGTAACTAGAGAATTGTATTGTGAACCTGATTGAAAAAGAGTAACATATGGAGATTCTTGCTCGTTCTTCTCCATAGCAATCTACACCTTGGAATGAGTAAATAGCTACAGGATTAAATTTTTTGTTGACGTTAAAATAAATGATTTTGACTTTGGTTCCCAACCGGTGCGTGGTCCGTCGACCCCTAGTGATCCGCAGAAGACAAAAATATATGGGCCGTACATTAATTATTAACTTATTAATTTAATATGACACTATCCTAAACCATTTCCTAGATCAATAAACCGAAATTCATCCATCAAACGATCAACCCACACATATACCACACACACACACACACACACACGAACCGCACCGTACTCAAAGCTACAGTTACACACAAGGCTACATTGGAATCAAACTGCAACTGGAAAATTCCGTGGAAATAGAATTAATTACACGGTTGATAGGTGGCGTGGGGCGCAGGGCGGGGCTCCGCTCGTGGGCGGGGGCCCGCCCTTCGGGGCTCGAGCTAACGCAATTTTGCCTTTAGACTTTAGTTAGCTTTTGAATGCCGAGTTGCCTGTTTGATTTAACAAGATTTGTAATGTCGAAATTGATACATTTTGGTTGTTTGACGTTAATTTAGGTTATTGTAAGGAAACACAAAGAGGAATGTTTTGATTTAGCGATACATTTTGTTATTTAACTCGTCGAGTACCGGTTTTATAGACACAATTAAAGAACAATAGGTCGCGGTCACCGGTGACCGCTTGGTGTTTGACAGTTTAAAACTAATACACACATTTAGGTACACCATATGTACCTAAGTATGTAGTCCCAAAGGCGACAACCGTAATCGAAGTCTAGAGTTTGATAGCCGAACTTGGGACAAGTATAAATATTGACTCAGTTTTCAATCAATATTTCTAATAGTATAGACTCGTATTCCATGAGAATTGACTCGAGACAGTGGTTCGGTCACCATGGCACCACCCTGGCATCAAACCGGTCATACTTCACGCAGTCGCGCTACACTTCACCCCAGTAAGGCCGGCCATTCACGATGCGTGCGTAACGATTTTCATTTCTGTCGCTCTTGCGTTAAACCAGTTTATAAATACATCATGGTCTAGATAATAAAAACCTCAAGAACCGGGATGGTGACGAGGTATGAAAATTAAAAATCAATTTAGTCCGTCAGTTAGGTAATGAAAAATATAAGATACGTATTTTTTTATTTTGTTATATAGGAAAACAATACTTAGATAAATCGAATCAAAGCTTAGATGTAGGAGCTAAAACTTCATTTTTACGTATAAAATGTACATAGAAGTGACGTCACGCGACATTTCAAATCAATATATCGTCGAAAGTATTCGTTTCTGTAAGAAAATAAAAATTTCGTGTCTAATGTTTTAAAATAATCTACCAGACGGACATTAAAATAAAAATTAGTCATCTACCCTATTATGTAGGAACAAGGTGAGCACCTAAGATTTTATATTTTTTTTTATTAAAAGTTTACCTATCAAATAAAAACAATAATAGATGTAAGTTTTCTATTGCCTATAAAATTCCACATTTTTAACTACAACAATTCATTTCAATCGCAGCATCAATACTTTTCCTTATATCGCGAATCAAGGTAGATAGCGTCCCCTATTCTGCATTTATTTGTAAAATGATCGGCAAATAACGTACCCCGATGAGGGTTCCTGCTTTAAATATATCAGACTTAAGTATAGGCTTTGCAGAGCAACTTAGAGCAATAGTTACTTATCTTATTTTATACTTTTTATACTTATCTTATACTATTATATAAAGCGGAAGTGTTTTTTTTTGTTTGAACGCGCTAATCTCCGTAACTACAAGTCTGATTTGAATAATTATTTTTGTGTTGGATAGCGCATTTATCGAGGACGGCTATACGCTATAAAACAGCACGCTACGACCAATAGGAGCTGAGCGGAGCGTCTGAAACCGCGCGGAAGTAGCTAGTTTTTAAATAAATCGGTAGTTATAAGATTTATCGCATCGATTCTATTCCTATTTTAGTGTTAGTTAATGAATTCTTTTATTGACTTATCTCTATACATAGTTATTCTTACTAAAGTGTATCACTGAAAAGTCACTTGAACTTAGAAATGTGCACATATTTGTGAGTATGCTAGCTACACTAGGTTAACACCTTCAACAGTTTGTTTTCTATTGGCAGTGAAAACTGGTAAAAACCATAAGGTTGAACCAGTTTGTTGCACTTTGGAAATATGAATATCTATATATATAAAAATGTAACCCGTTTCCCGTTGTCACACCATAACTTGAGAATCGCTGGATTGGCTGATTTTTTGTTGTTGTGTTTCTGATTGTCAGGAGAAGGTTCTTAAAAATCCTGAAAATGTTATGTGATCCATGTGGATGGCGCGTACGAAGTCGCGGGCAGAAGCTAGCAGTAGATAAAAGTTCTCACTCACCTGTGCCTGTGTGAACAATACCCTCCTCTTCCTCCTCTGGGCAAGAGGGAACTGCATGGGCTTGGAGTCAGGTCCCGCGCACGCGGCCAACCCTCCCATGTTGTTGACGTGGCCCATCCCGCCAGACGTGGACGTCATTAGCCTGGAAACTAAAGCAGCCGCTCAGATACGCACACTTGCATCTAATAAACTGAATGGTTAAAGACGTATTAAGGGATTTAAGACTAGTTTAAATCACACTATCACTTCTTCTTTATTATTTTATTAACTCTAATTTCTTATCAAGTCACGAATTATCTAGACTTAGATACTCACGTCACTTCACTTCATTCATTCAACCTAATCATTCGTCTTATATTATAATCTAAATCAATAAACCTAAAATAGAGAACTTTTTATCCTAACCGCATTAAATAAATCAACCAAAGATTTAATTAATACTAAAGTTTGCCAAAGACAAACGCTTTTAGTTCTAAAATCGGTCTCCATTAAGAAGAGCGGTTAAAGCTCAATCCTCAGTTAGCTAAGCTTTTGAATTTGAGACTCGAATTCGTTCTTGTTAATTACTCGTCAATTTCATTAGGGATTTATTTTATTTATTCGTAAAAACTCGTAATTGCCTTTATACCCACAACGCACGGAAGGATATGTCTTTACAATTCTATGTTAATTTCGTAATTTAATATGTCTCGCATTACTTTCAAACTGCACTGCTTTAATAACATTTTATCCTTTTAAATTATAAAAGAGAAGTAGCGAAAAAAATAAAAATTAATACTTTGTCGCGGTAGAAATTAATCTCTTAGGGCTGGTAACATTTAAGCTGGCGCCCGCCATTTTCCTAATGACACTAGATGCGGTTCCCCGCGTTAGTAGCTGTGCCAACATATTTTTAGTCACTTTGAGAACATATAATTACGTTTAAATGCGTACATCGTTTATTGCACGCTTTTTAAAATTCATAGTCCAGGGTGGAACACCTCTATTTATATTAGTTACGAGTCATAAGGAGGTGCGACCTACCTACAGTTCTATATCAGTATATAGTACTTAATGTGTTCAGTTAATTGAGATAGACTAAAAAAAAAGACTGTTAGGTGGACTGGTAGTACAGATTAAAAAGTTATTGATTTAAAAGAACCTTTTAACAAACTAGTACCTACGTGCAATAATAAAAAGAGTGTTTTAATCAAATCTGCAAAAAGTCATCCGTGATATGAATAAAACTCTGCGTGATCTACAAATTGTTGTCCTGGGTGTGGTCATGATATATTTTAGGTTTGTGTTTGTGTATATAGTGTGGATTAATTTTAGAAATAAATCTTATTTATGTTTAAAGGCCATTTATTATATACTACACTTGCCACGTACGAAACACCTTTAATAAACGAGATTGTCTGTTGTCTCGTTCAGTGGTCAAAACAACTGATTGCCAGCATCCGCCATCATGACAATTGACTAATCTAACGGTTCAATGACCTGTGAAACTTGAACTCTTTAGTAGGTATTATTTGAAATAAATTGAACAACTATCAATAAATATTCGGAATTTAGCGTCGATACAACTATACAGTACCTACCTAATAAGGAGCAAAAATGGACTTTCATATAAAATTAGTTTTATAAGACGATCTTTACCAATTTATATTAACTACATATTGCTTTATGGGCCTACTTTACGCTCTTAATGTTTATAATAGTCACATTTTTTTAATGGGGAAAAATCATCGATTTGTCATTGACTGCTCCCGCCTGGGTGAAGCGGGAGGGAGTGTCAGATTCTTACTGACTAAAAAACCACCCCGTTCCTTCTCTTGCACTTCGAGCCGGAGCCCCGGTAACCCGTTAGGTTCCCCGCGACCATAATAGAGTCACTACAACAAAAACATTAAGAAATTGTCCACACATGTACGAATATAAAAGTTAACACCAACCTATAAATCATTCTATAACATAAGATAAAACAGAATTGCGCACAGAACAGGCAAACGCAAACGCTATACCTAGTATAAAAATAATTGGAACGCTTCCATCAACAAAAGAACGATAGACTACGCTTGCAAAGGTCGGCACATCAGCATTTTCGGCAGCAATATCCCGCACATTACACACGTCGAATCCGCCGCGTATTTACACAACACTCCAACGAAAAGGGTCTTTCAATAAAATATAACTCCCCATTCTGTCTTACTCCATTGTGCGTGTGTGGCTGTACTCTGTATTGTGTGGTATCTTCGCTTCATCGATGGCATTGGTGCAAGCTGTACTGTTTGCGGGTTCCGTTTGGAATTTTATTATAGGAGAAATGATATTAAATAATGTGCCTAAGTGCAAAATTACTCTAAAACGACGCGCATGGTTCAGAAATAAGTTTAGTGTTAAAACGGCCGAGTATGGTCTCTTGGTTTGTTCTCTAATCGATTTTCAAAATATTATTTTGTGTCCGCATAGCTATGTATAAAGGAAAAATCTACATTCGTTTGTCTACCCATTCATAGTTACAGGATTTTTTGTATGATTAGGTTTTATCGGGTGTTAATGGTGTTATCAAAATAATAATTTATTCTTTTGCGACTAGCCGATCGTGATGCTTGCTCATTCGTTTCGTCCTTGCGGTACCCCAACAAGCTGGCAGTACTCGTTTCAAACCTCCTTTGTGTAGTCAATACACACCGGACATTTTGATATCTGTGGATCTCGTTTAATTGAAACGTTGCGCTATTTCCACAGCGCCTCAATGGCTGCGTTTCGTTTTTAGATTCCAATTGAATTGTTAAATGACACGTGAGGGGATGTTTACAAACATTTTCAATAGCTTTCGAAGATAGTTCCACGAGATTTTTATTGGGAATTTAATTTGATGTGATGCGTAAGAAGTTTTGTTGCTTTTTATAAAGGGAAATAGAGTTTTAGAGTTTCTATACATGGGTAGTAATTAATTAATTTTAAAACCCATATTTGGCAATAACGCTACGTAATTCTAAACTACCCTTAGTTTTGACAATGCTCCACGGAAGTGTGAAACAGCCTTATAATTTCCTAAAAATACATCTTCACTCGTAATTTCTGGTGATATCGTATGTGACAGGGGTCGGACAGAGATGTGCATATATTTTGACAACAAATACGTCGGTAATTGAACCGGGGGCTGGCCACGACGAGGGACGCTGGGGCGTCAGAATGTGTCATCGTAAACGGCACTATTTTCATGGTCGACTGGCAGCAGTGTTGCTATAAAATTATGTTTATACCTATACTGTTCTGGTAGAAATTTGGATACGGTATTGTTGAAGTAGGTTTTTAAATTTAAATTCAGATTCTGTTAACTCTACCAAATTCGAAATTCTAAAGTCGACGATGAGTAGATACCAAAAGGCCGTCTAACGTAAAATAATAAAATAATTGCCACTAAGTAGTTTGAATTTGATCTATTAGCATACTAAAACAACATCTGATTCCAACAAAAAGACTGCCAAATTCCCCAATTGTCACGCCACCCGTACCATGCGAAAAGTCTGAAGAAAAATAAATAGTTGCACGGGACGAATACTTGGCTTGCCGCGTGCATTTGATGACACGATTGGCGTAAAATTGGCCCGGACTTGCCGAGGGGGACTTCGAGGGGCAAGGTGGCCTGCGACTGACGGCCGCTGACCACAACTAATTACCAACCAGACAATACTAGTTGAAAATTCAGCAAGTTTTAATGACCATCCGGTCTATGTGAAGTTATTATTGCTTTTCCTGCATAATTTTAGGCGTGATTGGAGTTCGTCCCTGTTTTGTTAATATTCTGACCGTTGGGGCTGTTTGTTAGAGTTGGTCGTCATAATGCTAAAGTTTGACTTCAGAAATGTCTATTTGATTTTAGATTCTTGATTAAATTAGTCTTTGTTACTCGATCATAATGGCAATTTAAACAAGGAATGTATTTTGAGATTGCCTTTAATTTCGTATATTCATGCCAGCGGCACCCAAATAGGCCTACAGCATAATCATATCACCTTATGAACACCGTAGTATTCATATCACAGATATATTATCCCTAGAAAGGCCTACATAAGTATAGATATCTAAGTATAGTCTTTGAAAACATATACCGACAAAAGGTATTAGTGAATTAAATATGTGTGTGCATGCTAATAACTAACACTTTTAATGAATTACCTAGGCACTTATTGTAAAAGAATAACTCTACAAGAGTAATTAAATTAGCTATATTTCTTTCAAATATATCTCTGAGTATCCGGTTGAGTTCACAACGGTAGCGTAAATTACATAAAACTAAGTTTACGTAGCTACTAGCCGTGTCAAATTGACCTTTTCATCTTGAATACATTAGGTAACACCTTCATGTTAGTACATATGACATTTTTATTTGTTTGTTGTCTATGTTTGTCTTCAAACCACCTTCGGTTTGAGTATATAGTAAGTAGGTGTGATGTAACCGATTCTGCCAATCACATTGAGGCACAAAGATTGCTACAAAAATTACCAAATGGTAGCTAGTGAGTGGGGGTACCTAATTTAATTTAATTTATTAATTACGTACATAAGAATTTACATATTGTAATGATATTTGACGGTTATAAAGAGCAAATATAAAAGAGCACGTAAAATTCTGATAACTTCTAATGCGTTATTATAAAATAAACAATTCGTATCCTTCGCCGCTCCGCTTATTCGCGTTTACAACAAACATTTAACTTAAATGAAACGTAAAACAAGGAATCTCAATATTGATTAGATGAATCACAATAATCGTGATGTTTGTGAAAGCACTAAGGATTCAAGTCAGCGTGCAGTGCGTACGTAATAACTTCGGACGTGCTCGGGCCACTTCGGCTACCGTCGGCAGCTTTCGGCCCGTGCGCTCGCGTCACCGCGGGTCAATATTTACTGACAACTAATGGATTTTGCGAACGAGGGTCGTGTGTGTGTGAATTTGAAAGTAAAATTTTGTGATGTGTGTTATACGTAGGATTTTATTTCTACGAATTTAAGAACAACATATTTTATTTATGTATTTAACAAATTACTACTATTACGTGAGCCGAATGAACTTTACTTTTTGTGAACTTGAATTCAACTCAAGCAATAATTAATATTAGCGTCATCAGCCGGCAATTACGTTAATGTACTGGTAAAC